CAACATCGCATCTCCACCGGGATGTTGTACTTTCAGCCATGGCCCGAAGCATGTATCCTCAAACATTTTTCTTTGTGCAGGTGAAAGCTTCGACGCAATTGTTTTGGCCAGGCTGACTTTATTTCTCAAGGTCAATTGAGCTGAATAAAAGTTCTACAAAAACAATAAACATACTAAATTAGATATACCAAAAACTACACTGTGAAGATATACCAAAAACAATAATAAACATAAATAGTAGTAGTTTATTCTTCAAACTTAAATATGCAACACTGTGAATTTCGTATTTGTCTTTGTTTTTTGGTTGAAGTAATGCAATTCATTCAAGTTTCAATTTGCAGAAGAAGAATAGTTTCTGAAAATGAAAATCGCAACACTAAAATGACTATCGCAACGAGAGAATCGCAACGCGAAACTAAAATCGCGTTGCGATTTGCATTTCGCGTTGCGATTCTTGGTTGATTTAATAAGCAATCTAAGTGAAATGGTTAATCTATTATTGAAATTACCAGTAAACCTATCATCAATTTCAATATGAAAAACCTAATAATAATGCAAAAATTTCAAAAAGAAATAATTAAAAAAACTAACCCTCGTTGGTTGATTTGGTTGATTTTCCATTTCTGATTGTGAGGGTGGCTCTGAGAGATTTAGATAGACGGATTTCGTCGGAGATGGGTGAGAGAGTGAGAGATGGAGATGGGACTGAGTTGTGATTTTAGGTTTTAGGTTATGAGTTGCGATTACGGGATATACTGTGGACAGTTCAGTGTTCCAATATATTTATATTCATGTTTGGAATTTAAAAATAAAATACTTGGCCAGGATACTAATGGCGCTTTGAAAATCGCATTGCGATTATGTATTATCGCGTTGCGAAAGTCAGTATCGTGTTGCGAAAGTAAGTATCTCGTTGCGATTTTTTATTATCGCATTGCGATAGTCAGTATCGCATTGCGATTTTCCCAATTCGCGTTGCGATTTACTTATTCGCATTGCGAATTTCCCAATTCGCGTTGCGATTTACTTATTCGCATTGCGAATTGGGAAAATCGCAACGATACTGTAGACCATCGCAACGCGATTTTCAACTATCGCATTGCGAAAATGCAACGCGAATTTGCGATAATGGAGATCGCGTTGCGAATTAGCGATCGCATTGCGATTTTGTTGGTCATTTTGGCAAATCCGGAAAAAGTTGGTTAAAATCGTATATTATATGAGATTTTTGGTCACTGAGGTTATTTTCTCTTTTTAATATTATATCAGTTTGGTCTTACTTCAAAATAATTCAATTAATTTAATTATTTATATTTACAAATTCTATCAATTTAGTCTTCTTCGTTCTCTAAATTGTGGGTTCTTGTCTCGTAAATGTTAAATTATTTTATGATATAATAAAAATTTAGGAGTAAACTTTTACTACTTTATGGTAGAATGTAATTTATTTAATATGATGACTCGTTTGATATTACAACATCATAAAAAAATAAAATTGATAGAATTTTTAAATATGAATCATTAGGTTGATTGAGTTATATTGAATTATGATCAACTTGGTAAAATATATAAATTGTAGGTGCTAAAACTATTATTACATCATATCACATTAAACGTGTGTTTAAATTTGGGTAAACTACACCATATGTCACTAAACTTTAGATGGTATATCATTTATACCACTAAACTTTCAATTTCTCTAAAACTAAACTTTGTTTTTTTATTTCAATTATGCCACTGAACTGTTATATTTTAATGACACGATGACATGGAAAAATCCTTTTTCGTCATTGTGGTGATGTGGATAAACCAACATCATTTTGGCACGAATATTTTTGTCCAAAATGAAGTTATTTTGGCACAGCTATTGATGACCAAAACAACATTGTTTATTCTTAATTTTTAAATTGATGATCAAAGTCGATCAGACCAAAAATAAAGGGAACTATTCGTATAGTTTATGGTACTCAAATCTAAAATTTTTAAAGATAATAATTACCTTTTTAACTACGGAGATAACTCGATTCGTTACAAATTAATCGCGTAAATTAAAATTTTGAGTAATGGGTAATTTTATTGATAGAAAAGGGTGGTTCGTTACGAATGCATTGGATTGGATAAGGCTTCGTTGGAAAGGTCCACTGACGTTGATAGTGTGTGGACTTCAAGCTTCAAATAAAGAACCCAAAAAATATATAAAAGAACGAATGCACATTATTAAAATAAATAAATAAAATATTATAAATTATATAAAAAAATCAAAAGCACATTATTAAAGCCGCAAAAAATCACATTTCGAATTAGTATATATAAATCAATTATATTTTACGAGTTAAATAGTTAATTCAATTAGTGTATATATTTATTCTTGAATAATGAGTATCAATAAATTTAAAATTTAAAATTCAACGATATAAAAGTAATAACGGATCCAAAAATAATTTTAAAGATAGACACGCACGTGTTAACAACGTAATTTATTATTTTATCTCATGATCACGATCTCTTTCCTGTGTGCCATAGCTGTGAGGGAAGGTCAATTATGTTAATTATCACACGAAGATCCATTAATTATTCGAGTGGTCAAAATATTTGTATCATTTTATTTTATGTAGATTTAAACCTCGATATTTATTTCGAAAATATTAATACTTCTCAAATACACTTACCATTAAATAGGTGGAGTTAGTCGTATTTTTAAGTTAAAATTTCGATAATATAAATGAAACAAAAAATGAATTTGGAAGATTACACCTATGAGTATCTACAATATTTTATATGAATTAATCAATTAATAGAATATACAAAATATTATAAAAAAATTAAAAGTAATATATATTTAGAATCTTTAATAATCATTAGCAACATACTCTGCAGATAGGGGTGTACAAAAAATATTCGACCCAGTTGACTTGATCCGTCGATCCGCCGACTCAAACTTAAAAAAACCGGGTAATTTTTTAAAAAGAATACCCGATTGGGTCGGGTACCCGGCTCGATATTTCCCGGGTCAGGCCCGAGTCACAAAATTGAGTTTTTCCGGGTACCCGTTTACCCGAGTACCCGGTTAGTTTTTATTTTTTATTATATATATTTATATAATATAATGAATTATTTATATTATAGATTATTAGATTTTGTATTTCGAATTTTTAAATTTTATGTTCGGATGTTGAAGTATGTAATTCGAAGTTTCAAACATTTAAATTTGTATATATATTTTTAAATTAATAATTTAAAAATGAAAAAAACGGATACCGGGTACCCGCAACATCTGGGTTGGAACACGAACCAAGAAATCACCGACCCAAATATTATGAGTTCCCGGATTTACACACCTATACCTATAGATACAACTGCTTGGTGATTGTTAATCACTTATATTTACTAATTATCTCGGGAACAGAGAGAGGGGGAATATATTCCATGGTTTTTCAGGTGGCAGGGAAAGGCCATGTAGCCTCTACGAGAAGAGAGGCTAAAGCATTGAACCGACCCCCACAATGACATGAACAAGCAGCAGCTACCAGTGAACCCTAGACCTCCTCGATGGTCCAGTTCAATGAGTAACCCCCCAAAAAACAAAACTACGAGAATTAAAGCACAACAACACCAAGATTCAATTGCAAAGATTAAAGGTGAGTATTCGGTCGAGCAAGGCTGGTTCTGACTATTTTTAGGCTCGGGGCAAAAATAAAAAATGGACCCTAATATAAAAAATTTAAGAAATATATAATATAAAAATTTTATTAGATTTTTTTGTTAAATTAAACATTAGTATTTCATTACAATATAAAAGATGTCAAAAAAATATATTTAAGAATACAAATACTTATAAAAAATATTACATCCATTAATTTTTTTAAAAAAAAAATTAGGTACTAAAACAAATCAAAATTGATAGTTAGGTACTAAACGCGTTAAGTTTTTAACGACGTATACTAAAATGAAATGAAAACTAAACGTTAGATATGATTTTGAAAAAATTAAAAGTTTAAGTACCAAAACGGATCAAAACTAATAGTTTAAGTACTAAATTCATAGATTACTCTATTTTATTTTACAATTTTTTAATTTATTATCAGAAAAATAAAAAAAATTGTACTAAAAAAATTTATTTTGTGGCCCCTGGGCATGCGCCCCTCCTACCCTGGCCCAGGGTCGACCCTGCGGTCGAGTCTAATTGAGTGAAAAAATTCAAGTTAATAAAGTTTATGAGTACCATTTTATCATTTAAACTTTAATTATTTTTTTTGAGTCGAGTCGAATCGAACATATTTATTTGAATTTCTATTCAAATTTGAAATAATTATTTATGTTGTTCTGGTATTGATTGGTTTCAATTTAAACGACTCTCTCTAAACATATATGATATACATATATTTTTTCATATTCTTTTTCACATATGTAAGTAAGATTTGTAATGTTATTTAATAAATCAAATATCATCTAAAATTATAAAATATATTTATAATGTTGTTTTCTAAAATAGATTTTGAGGATAAACGATTGATGTGAGTATAAATGAGCCAATGAATTGATGGAAAGAAATAATTGTAAAGAGTTGTAGTTAGAGGATCAAATTGAATAAAATGCAAAATTGGTAGATTAAATTGAAAAAAAATAAGAAATTTGTTATCTGAAAAAGGAATTGAAGTTACATATGCATTATGCATTAATTTAGGTGCGTGTAATTTAAATTTGATAAAAAAAATAGACTTAAATAAAAGATAAATTGGAAAAAAAATCAAATTACTTATTTGAAGACCAAAACGATGTCTTTTCCATTTTTATTTGTTGATTTATTCAAACTTTATATGTCTAAACTCAAATAAAACTCAAATTTAAACTAATAAGTTCAAATTTACTATTTAAATTTTTAAAATAATAAATTTATAAATTTAAATCTAAATTATTTTTTAAAATTAATCATTAATATCCGATTTTTTAATAGAATAATTCACAATGCATTTTGTCTGCCATAAGTCTGAAATAAGCAGTTGAATTAAACATCAGATCCGACACACTTCTTCTCTCTTTATGCAAAAAGGCTGCCACAAGTGAACCGGCAATCAGAGATGGAGCTTTGTCACTGTATAATACCAACATTAGATATACATAGCCCTTATACAAACACGCTTTTTGGCCTCCCTTTTCATATGTTCATTCACCTCAACTACTACTTGCAAATGTCATCTCTTTATCTCTGCAACTCTGCCTAGTTTCACCAACTTGGTGTACCCTTCAGGCTCTCTGCATTTTCCCCATCGAGAAATTGACCCATCAAAATATACCATTAGATTAGTGGAGTTGTTTACAGAAAGGAAAACATGTTTAGAACAACAATACAAGTTACAACGATGAACTGTGGTGATGGGTCTTGGGAAGGAGCAGATGATTTGGTTCTTCCATTGTACAAAGAAGTGTTCTTGTTCTTGTTCTTTCCCTTGAGATCATAAGGTTGTTGTTGTTGGGGACATGTTACATTTTCAACCGTGCCTTGTTTGTTCAAGCAAGTCCGAATGTTAGCTAGCTGGTGGCTTGTGCATAGCCCATTGTTGCCTTTAACATCAAGCCTTTCACCAAGTCTATTGATGAAGTCCTGCGAGAGTGGTAGTTCCCCGGTTAGCTTGTTGTGGCTGAGATTAAGCTGGTCTAGATTTGGAAGGTACCCCAGATTTGAAGGGATGGTGCCCGTGAGACTGTTGTTGTCTAGCGAAAGAGCTGAGAGGTTGTTCAATGAAGACAAGGAGTTTGGTATTAGGCCTGTTAACCCACATCTTGAGAAACTGATATACGTAAGGCTCTTGAGGGACCCCAGAAATAAGGGAATCAATGAATTTATGGGATTGGAATCAAATATTAAGTACTGTATCTGCTCTAACCCTGAGAGTGTTTCAGGGAGTGGACCATTTATGGAGTTATGGCTCAAATCAAGCAAAACCAACCTGTTTAGCTTCCCTAGCTCTGGTGGAATCTTGCCATGGAGCCTGTTTGAGAAAAAATCAAGCTTTTGAAGAAGATTAAGCTGACCTAAACCAAATGGCACCACCCCTTCAAGGTCATTGGAGCTCAAGTCCAAAATGGCTAAACTCTTTAACCTTCCAAGCTCTTGTGGGATTTCGCCACTTAGATTATTGTAACTCAGGTCAAGTTGCTCCAAGTTGACTAACCCACCGAGCTCACCAGGGATGTTCCCTTGTAGATTGTTCTGTGACAAGCTCAAGACCCTTAGCATTGAAAGATTCCCCAAGCTTGGAGGAATTTCTCCTGCTAGAAACGGATTTGATTGAAGTGAAAGATGCTCCAAGGAAGACAGTGCACCAAACAATGTGGGAGAAAGCACAACCGTTGATGTCACGAAACAGTTGAAAATAGAGAGGGATTTGAGGTAAGGTATTTTGAGCAAAGAATCCGATATCTTTGCAGATGGTTGGCATGGCGGGGAGGCAACATCAGGGCCGATATGAATAGTTGTAACGTGAAAAATCGGTGGATCTTGATCTTGGCCGATCTGGCACTCGATTCCAGGCCATGGTGTGTTGGTGCATGGCTCCGGGTGCACTTCGGCCCAACCAGGTTCGTCTACAAGTGAAACCATGACATCAAAAAGCCCCAGAAGCTCACTTTCTTCCATCACCAAATCATTCTCTGCAATCACCCCACATGATAAAACAAGGAACCCAACAAGGAAAACATGAAGAGAAGCCATGAGAGACAGATCAAAGCACCAAACAACACACAGATATAAGCATTCAGAAACGTCGACTGTAGTAAAGGAATATCTACCAGTTTATTGCTTCAACCCCTCCCTTTGTGTGTCAGAAAAAAAGGCTGCTTGATGGTGTTGATGTTTTGTTGCATATGAGAGGAGAAAGACAGTGACTATAAGTGGAACAAAATATATATAGATCAAGCGAAAGAAAAATCAATATTTATAGAAAAAGAGTGAAGGGTTGTAAAAGTTTTAAGCATGATTTGACATGGCTTTTCCTCAGTATGATCATGAAGCCGACCCAACATGGCATTGCTTTTGCAGATGCAACAGTGTCTCTCACTGTCGCTCTATCTATGTGTGTATTTACACTCTGGGATTGGCTGCACGCCACCCGACATGTTTTTGTTTACTTCATATAGATTGTGGACATCTAAATATGCAATGGGGGAAAGAAATAGCAAGCAAAACATCTTTAGATGATTCTTTTTTATGAATAGTATCTCATTACATGTTTTAAGTTAGTGCGACATTTTTTTAATCAATGATTCATTTATGTTGCTACCGCAATCGCCGGCGTCAGTTGCATCATCGCACGTCCCTAATACAAACCCTGATTTTTATTAGTATATATTCGAAAAACTTTCAATCATTTTATAATGAACTCTCGTACACCCCTATAGACGTTGTACTAAAATATGAGACCTCAAAGAATAACAACAATCACTTAACCACTGAGATTGTGTGCTTATGAACACTAACAACACACACTTTGCAGACACATTATTTGAACCTATATCTTTAGGAGAGAATCACATTCCCTTTTATTAAGAAAGACATTCAATGAATTCAACTTATGGAATGTTTAATATTGTTAATTATTAAAACTAAAACATTAGAGTAACAATAGATAGAAGATCAAATTAGGATAAATAGAAGTACATGAGCTAAATCTCTATGTTGAATATAAGATGGAGGATTAAAACCATAATTGACGAAAATAAATTTTGCCTTTTACATTGAGCAAATGATCAATGGATTTGTTTATTGAATCCCAAACTATGCTCGACCCAGCCCACTCTGCCCGAGTTCATGCGTGTGTTGAACAGGCTTGGCCATGTGTATATGAAAATCAACATTTTTGCACCATTGATAGCCCACCATGAATTTCTCCCGTTGAACAGAATTTGAGACATCTTATCCACAAAAATGAGTTAAAAAAATCAGTTTCAACACTTAAAGGAAGCTCGCATAAGGATGGAGATGTTGGCTTCTTCTCTAAAAACGCTCCCTTCTCCATTGCCAACCGCAACAACTTCTTCACCAGAATCTTCATGTAAAACTTCAGTTTCCACAAGGAGAAGAGCCATTGTCTCTGCTTCAACGGCTGGAATGGCTTCTTTACTCCAATTTTCAAACCCCATTTCTCATTTATGTTCTGCCATCGCCCTGCAACCACAACAAGTGGAACTTGATCAAGAAGAAGATAGACTTGTTCATCTGTTCCAGGAAACTTCACCATCGGTTGTGTTTATTGAAGACCTTGAGTTAGCTAAAATCCCAAAGAGTTCTTCCAAGGGAGATACGGTTTCCGTGGATGAAGATGCAAAAGTTCAAGGGACAGGTTCAGGCTTCATCTGGGACAAGTTTGGTCATATTGTGAGCATTTTCCTCTGTTTTTTTCCCAGCATCTGATTTGTAATTTATACAATATAACTGTTGATGGAACAAATGTGTTATAGTGACTATAAGCAGTTCACTTTTCTGATTTCGGTGAAAGTCGCAGACGACGGTTAAACGGTCGTTGACATGCTAGGCGAGGTGGTTCTCTTGTTATTGATAGAGAGTCTTTATCGTTACCCTGAGTGAGAGTGTCAGTCTGATTACTTGTAGGTTAACATACATCTGATGATGGATTTAGCTCTGGTTATATCTCCATAAGGGGTAGAAATGAGATGAACGAAGGAGAGGTGATTCTCTTGTTATTTATCGAGAGTTTTTATAATTACTATTAGTGTAAGTGTAAGTCATAAGGACATTATAGTTACTTGTAAGTTAATATGATTGGCGGCATCTGATAGTAAATTTAATCCTGGTAGATTACGTGAGTTTGTCGGAGATCGTGTTAAAAGGTCGGTGTCTTCCCAAGGTGCAGATCTTCCAAGATTGTCTGAAAGGTTCTGAGGTGAAGAAGAGATCAGAAATTTAGAGATGGTTTTGGGTCCTCCCAGAGTTTTAAGATGCGGAGGAAACTTAGGGGAGATACAGCAATAACATTAGGTTTATTGATTTGCTTATAATGTAACAGGTTACTAATTACCATGTTGTGGATAAATTGGCTACCGATCAAACTGGGTTGCAACGATGTAAGGTGTTTCTGGTTGATGCTAGAGGGACTAGCTTTTACAAAGAAGGGAAACTTGTTGGCATTGATCCAGCCTATGATTTAGCTGTTTTAAAGGTATCTTAATGATCAATGCTGATGGTGCTTGCTTTTTCCCCCCCTTTATGAACAATTGAATTAGTTTTGCTACATTCTTTGAAATGATTTCCACCTGCAGGTTGATGTTGAGGGCTATGAACTAAAACCAGTTGTGATTGGCACTTCTCGGGACGTGCGTGTCGGACAGAGCTGTTTCGCCATTGGAAATCCCTTCGGATACGAGAATACTTTAACGACAGGGGTAAAAAAACTGTTTAATAACTGAATTACACATGACGCCGGCCCGATATGACCTAGAGAAGTCATGGTGCCTTACCGGTTGACGAGTCATGACATGAGTTGTTATTTTGCAGGTGGTCAGTGGATTAGGCAGAGAGATACCTTCCCCAAATGGCAGGGCTATTAGAGGAGCAATTCAAACAGATGCTGCCATTAATTCAGGTAAACATTAGATGGATTTCATTTGTAAGCTAACATCCATGAATGCTTATCTCAGTTGCAGACCTTCAATATTACTGTCCTCTTGAAGATCAGCTGTGATACACCCTATATGTCTCATGTCTGTGCAGGCAACTCCGGTGGGCCGTTGATAGATTCATACGGTCATGTCATCGGTGTTAATACCGCAACTTTCACTCGAAAAGGTAAGGAGATCACATGATTAGTCCTTTTGGTACGAAGAAAAGTGATGCAGTGTCTTTGTTTTCCCTCTTCTGCAAAGAAAATGGTTGATCCTATTATACGATCTTGCAGGGACAGGAATATCCTCTGGTGTGAACTTTGCGATACCGATCGACACAGTCGTGCGAACGGTACCTTACCTTATTGTATATGGAACCCCATATAGCAACAGGTTTTGACCCAATATAATCTTCTGTAATCAAACAAATACCATGAGTTTGATAATGCTTTTGGCCTGAAGAAGATTCATACATGCTGGCTCTGGATATCATTCCGGTGTATGTATGGCATGACATTTAGCTACATTAAAATCTCACCTACAAGTTCTCATGAATGCTGCTAAGTATCTATGTATGTTATCTATGTCAAGACTCAAATTCAATCAAACAGCTCATTTATGGTGTGCAAATTTACATGGTGATAGCATTGTCATGGTCACCACCACCATTAATAAGGAAGTTAAATGGTAGTTCCCACTCTTCCATGATTGAGGTGAGGTAGATAAGTGTTATTGATTAGATCAATTTGTTATCATATATATATATATATATATATATAGATAGTTAGTTAGTTAGGGGTGTAAATTAACTGAGCGTTTGGTGAACTGTTCATATAAATTTCGTTTATGTTCGATTATCAAGTTAAATAAAATAGTATGAACAAAAAACTATGTTCATTTAATAAACAAACGAACATACACATAGATGTGATCGATTTGTTTATTCACAAATAAACTTGTTTATCGACTCATTCTTTTATGTTCATGAACAAGCTCATTTAGTCGATTTTCCTTCTTTTATTTTTTACATTTTAAATATTGGTGAAGGTAAGGACTAAATTAGACACATGATAAAAGTTGAAATTTAAACTGTGGATTTTAAGGAGTTTTAGCACTACTGGCATAATTTTACCATTTTCTTTAGCTTGCTAATGAAAGGGTGAAACAAAAAATTGAACGTATAAATGAACATTGAACGAACGCTAAATGAATACTAAACGAACATGTTCATAATGCTAAATGAACACGTTTGTGAATATATAAATAAACACGTTCGCGAACATTAAATGAATATGTTCGCGATTAATAAATAAACGAACACAACACGCAATATTAAAAAATTTAACAAACACGAACATAACATAAACACACTCAAAAATAAATAAACGAACACAAACATAATATTATTTCTTGAAGCTCGGTTCATTTATACCCGCTAGATATATTTAAAGATCATATTATTTATTAAACCTAAATATGTGATTGATATTTAATAGTATCAGTTTAGCAATTTGTTTATGCTTACAATTTTAACATAAATTTTATATCAAACATGAAAGATATTAAAAATAAATTCGAAATAAAGGCTTGTTATACAGTGGTCCACTGGTCCGGTCTAAGACAATTTAATATTAAAAGGGTAACCATTTTTGAATTTCGTTGCAAACGAACATGGATCTTTCCAACTATTTCTATAAGAATTTTGGTGACACATAAATGTTCACTTAAAACTACCCGACACTGAGAGAAATTTAAGTGGTAACACGATGTGACAAAATAAATAGAGGTGTGTAAAAATACCCGATCGGGTCGGGTTCCCGGCCTGATATTTCCCGGATCGGGTTTGGGTCACAAATTTATGTTTTTTCAGGTACCCGGTTACTTGAGTACCTGGTTAGTTTTTATATTTTATTATATATATATATATATATATATATAATATAATGAATTATTTATATTATAGATTATTATATTTTGTATTTCGAACCTTTAAATTTTATGTTCGGATGTTGAAGTATGTAATTCGAAGTTTCGAATATTTAAATTTGTATATATTTTTTTTAAATTAATAATTTGAAAATGAAAAAAACAGGGTACCCAATTACCGGATACCCGTAACATTTGGGTCGGGACATGGGCCGAGAAATCACCAAATCTAATGTTCCGAGTATTCGAAAATCTGGGTACTCGAATTTGTACACCCCTAAAAATAAATGCCATTTAAGAGTATAATTTCATCTCATAATACAGGTGTGACAAAGTGGGAACATATAATATATGATGTGACAAAATAAATGCCATTTAAGCCTACAAAAAAAAAAGAATTTATTAAATAAAGAGTCATGCATGTTCTTAGTCACATTAGTCCTATGTAACAGATAATTAAGATGTGATTTAACAAATATATCAAAGTGATGATCCGGTTATTGCTTTTTGTTTATATACGAAAAATATATAACGCATTAAGTGACCTTAGCCATTAAAAGAAATATTATTCTCTTTAAAAGTCACGAGTTTAAGTAATTGTGTTTACGAATGTATTTACGTCGTCAATTATTAAAAAATACCACCACATACTATTAAAAAATATCTTAAAAATTCAATTATTTTACTCTTTCATAAGCTTTCTAACCCAAAACTTAATAGACATGTCGATGCAATTATAATGATCATGAAACAACTCACAACCCTAATCTTATCTTAAAAACATAATCAAATGTATTATTCCTAGCATTTTGACATTTTAGCATTTGTAGTCACTGATACTCAAACCCATGACCTTTAAGAACAATAACGATTCCTTAACCACTGAGATAAGTTGGTTCGTACTTATTTAGAAGTTTAATCTATAAAATTTCTAACTATTTTTAAGGTAGCTTATATTGATAAGTTATAAAACTCGAACTCGTCAATATTCAGATTATTATTTATATTTAATATTTTTTTTAAAAGTATCCCTAAATTACTCAAACATTGATTAAAATATACAACTAACATGTTGTACTGTGGTGATAATTAACAACCCCAAATCTAAATCCAACTAATCAAATTCTATATAAAAATGTATAAGAATGTATATATCATTAATTTCATCAATAAATCATAATTATTCAATTATTAGTGTCACCCAAACCTTGAAAATCTCACTTTTATTTACTGTTCATTTGGAATTTCGTACTACCTAAGTGACGACGATCCCATGATTGAATTTATGATAAATTCACATAATTTATCGAAGATAAATTTGACGGTTATCATCATTACATATTTGACACTAACATCCGTACTCATACTTGAAGGAAAATGGAAGGCAAGATCTCTTCTCGTCTTCCACGCATAAAAATATTAGTTAACGTCTGTTCTTTATCGGTTACGACTCTCCACCCAAATCAAAAGAAATGAACTGTCCACAACCGACAAACCAAAATTGTTCTCATTAATAACTACATATTGATTTTTTTTCTTATTTAGCTTACTTTTTGCGTATTGATTATTAATCCAATAAATAGCTGGAACTTTGTGTTCAATTTTATAAAGTATATAGTATGTATTAGATAATTTCACCTTTAATATATAAAATAATAATTTATTAAAAATGCACGTAAAATAGAGTAATTTTCCTTCTAGAAAAAAAAGGTGTTTTTTTAAGATGAGGAATGGATAGGGATGGACATGGGTCGGGTCGGGTTTTTGGTCCACCCGTCTTAATCTGAGAACAAAGAATCCTCCACCCGATATTTGATCCGACCAAAATAAAATTTCACTCGACTCGACATATAACTTAGAAACTCGACCTGACCCGAAATAATAATAAAAATATTATTTTTGTTCAAAAAAATAATTACTTAATTAAAAAAATTATATATAGAGGTGTATTATTGTAATTATTCATAAATATATAAGACATAATTATATATTTTTTCGGGTCGGTCAGATATTTTTCACTCTAAACCCGAACTCAACTAGACCCAAACATCACACTTAAAAAAATATGACCTGGCCAGACTAAATCCGATTTTTTCTTTTAAAAGAACCCGACCCGAGTGAGTTGGGTCAGAACCCGTCAGGTCCGGTCCCGTGCCCAACCCTAGGGATGGATGCAAACTCTCCTCCATCCTTGTTATGGTGGCTGACCATATTTCATAAATGACTCCTCTTTTATTTTGGGTCTAATTATGGTTTAATCCTTTTATTTCGTTGAATTCGAGAATTTGATTTCTTCCTTTTGATTTGATATTATTTGATTCTCTAGTTTTATAATATTATTTTCTAGTCATAATTAATAACACCATTAATTATTATTAGTAAAGTGATTACGTTAATTTTCTTTTATAGCTATTTTATCATATCATTAAGGTCTTAAAATTCAATTAGTTACGTTCATCCAATAATATTTTTTTAAAAATGAAAAATTATATTACTATTTTAATAAAAATAACTCACGATATTATCAATTCAATTTTTTCCTCCTGGTTCTCAAGCTTTGATTTGATTAATCTGAACGGATTTTCGTCACACACCTAATTTTAGTGTGTGAGTCTCACAACGAGGATTTTCTGTATATATAAGGATCAGAACTTAAGACTCGTTTAAGCGATATCAAACTACTTACCACTTGAACCAACTCTCGTTGGTAATTCAAATCTTTTAATATTATTGCAAAAGTGATCAATCAAATCATATGACAAACTTAACCCTAAACCCTAAACCAAATTTGCTAACCTAAATTATACTATTAACTTCTTCAACATATATATATATATATATATATATGATGTAGATTTAATTAATGTTATGTAATTCGATCATTTTAATTCCATTTGATTTAATCATTTTATTAATATATTATTTGGATCAAAATTGAAGTATCAAAATTTAACAAATATAGAAAATAAAATTAATTAAATTTAAAAATTTTGCATTATATAAGGACTAAATATATAATTTACTTCATAGTGTAAGGACTAATAAAGAATTTAACCCATAAAGAACCAGTTTTCTCTCTACCCACAGATCTATATATCGCGTGATCACTTTCATCTCGTTTCCCCTCCCAATCAAAAAGTTTTCAAGAAGGGGGAAAATGTGTTCACTTCGTTCAGATCCGGTTCACAGAATCCATCCCGAGCGGATCGATCACTTCGACCGTCTCCCGGACTCTATTCTCCTCTTAATCTTCAACAATATCGGCGATGTTAAAGCTCTCGGCCGATGCTGCGTCGTTTCGCGCCGTTTCCATTCCCTCATCACGCAAGTTGAAAACGTCGTCGTTCGTGTGGATTGCGTCATCTCCGACAACGATTGTTCCCCCTCTTCCTCTTGCTACGATAAGTCACGATCCGCCGGTCCGATTTCTAGCCTCTTCCGGCTCCTTTTAGGGGGCATTGTTAAACCGTTTCAAACTTTGGTTCAATTTCTCGGTCCGAAGCGGTCCGCTCTCAATGAATCCCTTAACACCCAATCATCTTCT